TATCCACAGGGCAGCAGTTCAGGAGTGTTGGCTCCGCTGCACCGAACCACATCTCCAATACGATAACCTTCAACACTGTCTGAGCCCAGACCCAGATGACTGACCGGATCCACGTGCCTGATGTACTCCTGCAGACAGTCACATGATCAACATTATTTACAGCAAAATTACCCCCCCCCCCTATATTTATGTATGTATATTTTTGTATTCATATTTTATATAAATTATATATTAATTCATATTTATATTTATTTTATAATGTATATTAGAAATTAATATTTATTGTACTTTATGTAGTTATTTAATGCATCCAGATTCTATGTATTATTTTATTATTTAAGAACAAAACCTTTAATGCTGTAGTCCTACATATAAATTCTGTGAATTTAATAAGAAAAACTGTTGCACACAAAAAAATAATTGTATAATGCAAAAGCAAATTGCAAGTCTAAAGAAATGTGTTTGATGGAGATGTTTTATGTGAGCTTCACCTCTCTACCTGTAGCCTTAATGAGTTTGGACGACTAAGTATATTTACCCAATCGATTTTAAATGCCCAAATGAAACAACAATATATATATAGACTTGTAAGGACGGATTTTACTCAGACTTACTGTAAATGTGTCCTGTAATGAAACAAAAGAAAAGGCCCAGGATAGACTTAGACACATTCTTGCCCTCTTTCCTGAACTTTCCTTTCCCTCTGTTATGGATGCTCTTTGTTAGTGTGACTTTTAACAAGATTTTGCTTAATATTTTTGATAAAATCCCAACAGCTGAGTAAATCTTTAAGTCACTGGATAACTTTAACAAAATAATCATTTATTGCTCTCACAGGGCATTATAGAGAAGGACAAAATGTCTCAGGGTTGTTAGTCTGTATCCAGACTTCCATCTACACTCTTAGATTTATCTTTGAGTATTTGATGTTGTGCATTTGCTTCTGAGTTGGCTTTTATTATTTGATTCTGTAATAGAACATATGCCGAAGCATGCTAATAGGACTTTTAATTTGCCAGTAACCTGGGTTAAGCGCTTCCGGCGAATTGAATGCCAATGCAAAATCCGGTGCGTTTAAGGTCTGTTTTCTTTAAAAATCAGCGATCTCCACTAGCTGAGTGATATCCGATTTAAAGTGGGTCTCAGATTGTACAAGAAGTACTGCATTAAATTACATTTTCCCCCGCCATATCTTTATAATATGAGCATTTATTTTACCCCAGTATATTCAGTGGAGCTTCTGCGTTAGCCTGCCGATTTTGATGGACGCGTACCAGTAAACAGCTTTTTGTCTCGTTTTACGCTTAAGCAAGCAAATAAATGCTAAAGTTTATTTAACTGAATGTATTTTAATGACATTATAACATCGATGCTGTATAAGGAACCGTATAAAATGGAAAAAAGTTCACAATAACAGGTCACCGGAAGTGTATCAGCATGGGAACAGCATTAGCTTGGCATATACCCTATTGGCATGATAGACTTTCATCTGGAAAATAAAGTGTTCAATTTTGATGTATTCTGAATTCTCCTGAAATCTTTTATATCCAGTAGATTATGTTGAATCTGGTGCAAACGTGATACTGTGTAGATGATATCCAAAAGAATTGCACAAAACTGTTTGGTGCAGTAGGCACTTCAGCTTGGAGACTATTCAATTTCTGGTCATAGCTGATTTAGCCAGTTGTATGGACATGATTAAATCAACTACGCTTTTTCGAGTGATCAGGAGGCAACTTAATTGATTAATTGGGTATTAGTTAACCCTGCATCCTCTGACTAATTTCAGAATGTTCATGAGAAACACACAAATGGCGTGAAAACACTGTGCGGCATTGGGTCCCTAATGAATAACTAAAGAGTGGATAATGGATAAGATATAAATCAAAACTAAACTGATTAAAGGATTCCAGTATAAATTTGATGATCACTTAAAATTGGAGTCAGATTAAATATGGCTGAAAACAAATATAAATAAAACCGAATAAATAACAGAATTCCTTTTAAAAGCACTAAAGAAGTTTTTAAACTTTCGACCATTCATCGGATTCTGTCATTGGGCTGCTAGAATGGAATCTTACAGACCAATATGCTAACATTCTTCAATGTAAAAGTCAGTGGAGTGATAAATACAAATATTTCACACATTTTCACATATTTTTATGTTCTCAATGTAATGTAAATGACTCATCCTCATCAAATAATTATTATAAATGTATTTACCTTAAACAAGCGCCGTACAACTCCATCGAGAACATCCCACTTGGTTTTTCCACTCACACCAATGCAGCCAATGAGAAAGTGTCGAGTCCTGCAGTCCTGCAAGAGACAGAAAACACACCATTACAACTAAACTCACATGTGCTAAAATAAAGTTTAGAGTAAAATGATCTAATTGCATAAAATTTTAAGTATTAAAAACGTGCCTAATTTTCTCAGTGCAAAGTGTTTTTGATGAGACATTTCTGTGAGAAGCATGAAAATAAAACTTTCTCAAAAGACACTTTATTTCAAAATGGGCCAAAATGTCAAACCTCTTTCCACATGACGTCCTCTTGAAGACTGACGACTATTTTCACATGTCTGCTTTCTTTGCGAGAGCTTCCGTCTCCACCAGAGTCATCCAGCAACATGTCTGAAAACACACACACTGCATTATTCTTCCTAACAAAACACACTTTAAAAAGCAGCATGATTCGTCGGTCCAATTTTGGAGAGTTTTCTAAAAAAAAAAAAAACATTTTCCCAGTGATGGGTTGCAGCTGGAAGGGCATCCGCTGTGTAAAACATATGCTGCATAAGTTGTCAGTTCATTCTGCTGTGGCAACCCCAGATTAATAAAGGGACTAAGCCAAAAAAATAAATAAATAAATTTTCAAAATCAAGTTTTTGGGTGTCTCTGTTGCCCTCTTGTGGTAAAAAAAATGGATAAACGGGTTAAAATTGTGAGGTGAACGATTCCTTAAAATCACGTGCTTCTAAAATCCTAAAGAGACTGATAAGTATTTCACCAGATCAGATAAAACATGAGAATTGTTACCGAAGCTGGTGGACTCTGTGAGGTTGAGGCTGTGTTGGGATAGGCCTGGCGTGGGGGTCGGTGTGGGGTTATAGACTGACACCTGAGATGATGCTCGGCTCCCACTCGCGTGACTCTCAACCTTCAGACGATCATTTTCTGACTTTAACTTCTCGATCTCCCCCTGTCAGAACACACACACAAAACATGTTCAGTGAACAGCAGAAATGAGAACAACCTGACAAAGAATAATAATAATGATTATTATTATAATTCATTCATTTTCTTGTCGGCTTAGTCCCTTTATTAATCCGGGGTCGCCACAGCAGAATGAACTTATCCAGCAAGTTTTTACGCAGCGGATGCCCTTCCAGCCACAAACCATCTCTGGGAAACATCCACACCCACATTCACACACACACTCATACACTACGGACAATTTAGCCTACCCAATTCACCTGTACCGCATGTCTTTGGACTGTGGGGGAAACCGGAGCACCCGGAGGAAACCCACGCAAAGGCAGGGAGAACATGCACACTCCACACAGAAACACCAACGGAGCCGAGGTTCGAACCAGCGACCTTTTTGCTGTGAGGCAACAGCACTACCTACTGCGCCACTGCCTCGCCTAATATTGATTATTATTATAATGATAACTAAAAATAATAATAATCAAAATAATCAAATAAAGACTCTCACTTAACTCATTTTTAAACGAACTCTTTCTCTAGGATTCTATACAGTATTTGTGCAAATCTGGTTATTGGTTTTATAATAAACTAGTCAGTAGCACAGCCAAAATGTAAAGGACTATGACAAAATCCTGATGCAAATAAAATTTAAATTAAAAAAAAGAAAATCAAGAAGGATATTCATAAAAAATATTAGTTTCAGTTGAATTTTTTATTATTTTTTTAATTGCAAAGAAGAAAATTCAATTTTAAATAAAATAAAATTCTGTCTTACCATAAAATATTAAGTGACCAAACTATTATTTTAGAATAAAACTATTAAAATAACAAGATTGTTTTGATACCTTAATATTGTATGTGTATGTACATGCATTTATTTATTTTTATGGTCAACAATACAGGCTGCCTGTGTGCAGATAAAACCATTTTAGGGAATATTTTTTTACCAACATCAATCAGATTTTTAAAAATGTAATATTTGTGTTGATGATTGAATGTTTGTGTTGAATTGTGTTTTTTGTTTTTGCAAATGTGGACCTAAGGTCCAAGACAAATTTCCCCATTGGGAACAATAAAGTGTAAACAACAACAACAACAACAACAACAACAACAACAACAACAACAACAACAACAACAACAACATCATTTATTTATTTATTATTTATTTGTTTTGCTTGTTTATAATTTTTATAATATTTTTTTAAAACTGTGATTTTGTATGTTTTGTTTTGTTTTCCTTAGTACAAGTTCCTAAATATATATAGATAGCATTTGAAAAATAAATAAATAAATAAATAAATATATATATATATATATATATATATATATATAATAATAAAATCAAATAAAACAAATAAAATAAAAAAGGGGCGTCACGGTGGCGCAGTGGGTAGCACAATTGCCTCAAAGCAAGAAGGTCGCTCGTTTGAGCCTCGGCTGGGTTAGTTGGTATTATTGTGTGGAGTTTGCATGTTTTCCCCGTGTTCGCGTAGGTTTCCTCCGGGTGCTCCGGTTTCCTCCGTTTTTTTGCTTGTTTATAATTTTTATAATTTTTTTTTTAATACTGTGATTTTGTATGTTTTGTTTTGTTTTCCTTAGTACAAGTTCCTAAATATATATAGATAGCATTTGAAAAATAAATAAATGAATAAATAAACAAATAAATAAATAAATAAATAAATATATGTATATATATATATATATGTATATATATATATATATATATATATATATATATATATATATATATATATATATATATATATATATATATATATATATATATATATATATAATAAAATCAAATAAAACAAATAAAATAAAAAAGGGGCGTCACGGTGGCGCAGTAGGTAGCACAATTGCCTCAAAGCAAGAAGGTCGCTGGTTTGAGCCTCGGCTGGGTTAGTTGGCATTATTGTGTGGAGTTTGCATGTTTTCCCCGTGTTCGCGTAGGTTTCCTCCGGGTGCTCCGGTTTCCCCAACAGTCCAAAGACATGCGCAGTAGGTGAATTGGTTAAGCTAAATTGTCCGTAGTGTGTGTGTGAATGAGTGTGTATGGTTGTTTCCCAGTGATGGGTTGCAGCTGGAAGGGCATCCGCTGCGTAAAACATATGCTGAATAAGTTGGTGGTTCATTCCGCTTTGGCAACCCCAGATAAATAAAGGGACTAAGCCGAAAAGAAAATGAATAAATGAAATAAAATTACATCTTACCCTAAAATATTAAGTGACCACCTTCATTTTACAATTAAAATGTTAATAAAATCAATATATATTGTCAATATTTTCTAAAAATCATGTACGTTTATGCTGGCTACTGTTTTCTTTAAAAGCCCTGCTGCAGAATAAGGCATTGTGGGTAATGTATGTGATTGGTGTGTCAGACCTGCATGCGGTTCATGGCCTCTCTGAGCTGGTCGAGCTGATGTGCAGAGCTCAGAGCCTCCAGCCGAATGTCTGTCAGCTTCATCTCCTTCTCTCTCAGCTCGTTCCTCAGCTGCATCACTGTCTCCGCTTCACCGTCCAGACAGTCTGACAGTCTGCAAACAACAACACATACGCAATTTAAAAACTTGTCTGATTTAGTTAAGTAATTTTAAATAGCATTTTTATTTATAAAACAAAGCCCTGACCTCCTTAAATGTGCCATTAATATACAGAAGCAGTATTTTATTATAATTTATATAAAAAAATTTTATTACATTTTTTTAGTAATTCTATTATGTTCCTTTGAACTTATTTTTAAATTATTCTTATTATGGCGGTTCATTCCACTGTGGTGACCAATATTAAATAAAGGACTAAGCAGAATGAAAATAAATAAATAAGTGATTATTATTATTATTATTATTATTATTATTATTATTATTATTATTATTATTATTATTATTGTCTTTATTAATATATATTTTAGTTTAAGTAAGTCATAGTTTTAGTTCAGATTTAATAAAAACATTGTCCTACTTATCAATATTTATCTACAACCATTTAATTTTTGAAAAAACAAATACCTTATTTAAAAATTTATTAGAAAAAAGTCTTAATTTGTTTTATTTCTGATTTAATTTATAAATTATAATAAATTAATGACCTCCTTAAATGCGCATTAGTATCAGTCACAAAGCATTATTAGTTATTTATTAGTATTTTAATGTACACAATTTTATTCCAAATTTGTTTTATTTTTATATTTCAGTTTAGTAATTCTATTATGTACCTTTGCCATTATCATTATTATTATTATTGTTGTCTTTTTAAATAAATACAATTTTATTTTATTTTAATTAAGCCATAGTTTTCGTTCAGAATTGACAAAATTTTTTTTTCTAATTATCAATATATATCAAACTATAGTCCACCCGCTCCAAGTTAATTTAGCATTTTAACTAATTTCAGATTCAGTTTTAATTTATAACACTATGCCAATACTGGTCATTCAGCTATTAATTAATTAATGAAATTATTTAATATTATTAAAATATATTATATATCATATGATAACACAATACTGTAGTTATTTTTTTAATTGGTCCAGAAATCTTATATTAGTCCATTTAGATGTGTTAAAAAAATTATATTCATATAGGTCTTTAAATATATTTGATGATTTAATTTATTACTTAATTGTCTTAACAATTATTAAAATATTTGTTTGCATTTAGTTTTAATTAAATGCCAAGTTTTTGAGTGTCTCTAATGCCCTCTTGTGGTAAATAAACAAAAGCACTTGCAGCTTGTAGTTTCCAATAGTACCTAGAGGCAACCTTGATGATGCAAGCTGAGACTGCATATCTCAGTGATGCAATGTCAGACACGACACACTCAGTGAAGCTATAGACGTCTCTGGGAGGGGTAGGGTTAGGTGTGGGGTTAGGTGAACGCATTAAAAGCATTGAATGCAGCTCAGACTGCACTGCATCAGGTCTACATTCAGACCCCTGTTGATCCCTTTACGCCAACGCAATCTCATGGCAATTTATAACTTTTTAATTTAGTGGCTTACAAATGCACAACTCAGAGGCTAAGAACCGCCCAACAAATATTGTAGTCTTTAAAAATATTAACAATCCTTTTACATTCACAAACATGCATACAAAACATAAACAAATAAACAAATAAATATTTAAATTTAAACTGACATTGAACTGGAGTGAGTGTTGCGGCGCAGCAGAGCCGTGGAGCCGCTGCCGTTGTGAGGGAGTTTTGGTGAAGACGGCAGAGAGGAATCGGTCATCTCCTCAATGTCTGAATGAGACGACGCTGATTTAGGGGATTTCTTCTTACTGAAGGCCTGTTTGAAGGAGCTGCGAAGCTGCAATGATAACAGAGACAGGTCATGAGTCTAGAGTTACTGAAAAACAGCAGAATGATGAGCAGAAGCAGAACACAACAGGACGACAGAGAAACAGCACACAATGAAGAGGCAGAGCTGGGCATCATTCACATCGAGCAGTTTGAAGGTAAAGCTGAGTTTTTATATGTGCTGAACTTTAGACTGCTGTTTTAGTTTTACAGCTTTTTTGACAGTCATCATCATTGTTAATTGTAAAATAATTCTATATAGAAATCAAAACCAAACAAAAATAAAATCGAAATTCTAATCATTTTATTTATTTATTTTTGAATTATAAAAACAGAGTATGAGAACAAATTACAAGAAATAAGCTTATGACAAACTAAGTGAGTTGATGGAATTTTTCCTCTACCATTACCCCTGTTGTATGTGGGGTTCCTCAGGGTCCTATTTTGGGACCAATTTTTTCTTCTCACTCTATAAACTTCCTTTGGGTTTAGGACTTACAGGCAGAATATTTCTACAGACTTTCATGTGTTACACTAAGATAAAAATTCTTTTAAAAGCATAAATTGATACAAAATTAAATTTGAATGTACTGAGGTTTAGACTGAATTTTAATTTTTACTCCTATTTTGACAGTTTTTATCATAATTAATGATAACGTTGGTAATATTTTTATATAAAAATCAAAACCAAACAAAAATAAAATAAATAAAAACCAAAATAATCTTAAATTCATCATAAAAATCACAATAAAAAAGTGGTGAAAGGGAGTGGGGTTGTGGAACAAACACAAAAAATAACCTTATAATCAAATAAGTGAGTTTAGGGGATTTTTTTCTACCATCACCTCCCTATTGTATGTGGGGTTCCTCAGGGTTCTTTTTTGGGACCAATCTTATTCTCGCTTTATATACTTCCTCCGGCTTTAGGATTTACAGGCAGAATATTTCTACAGACCTCCATGTGTTGCACAAAGATAAATATCCTTTTAAAAGCATTAATAAATAAATATAATGACTTATAAATCACTGTATAATTTTGAATGTAGTGAGGTTACGTCTGTCATTTTATTTTTACAGCTATTTTGACAGCTATTAACATTGTTAATGATAAAGTTGGTAATAATTTTATATGAATATCAAAAACAAACAAAAATAAAATAATCATAAGTTCATCATAAAAAACAATAAAAAAAGTGTTGAAAGGGAGCGGGGTTGTGAAACAAATCACAATAAATAACCTTATAACCAACTAAGTGAGTTTAGGGGACTTTTCCTCTACCATCACCCCCCTGTTGTATGTGGGGTTCCTCAGGGTTCTATTTTGGAACCAATCTTATCCTCACTATATATACTTCCTTCGGCTTTAGGACTTACAGGCAGAACATTTCTACAGATTAGCATCTGTTACACTATGATAAACATCCTTTTAAAAGCATAAATAAATATAATGACTCATGAATCACTAACAGGACATTATTGTAAAATAAAACAGAGCAAAGGCAATAAGGGAAAAGCGGATTGAAAGCACAGGAAAAGTCAGGGGCAGGAAGACAGTGAGGTTAGTGAAGCTGGTTAACCAGGACTCTCTAAACACATTCTTACCTCATACACCTGCCATATGAATCGACAGCACAGTGGAAAACAGAGACAGAGAAGCACATTCAGCCATGTGTGTGTGTGTGTTTGTGTGTGTATATGTTTGTGTCCAGCAATGGACAGGACTTCACTTGAAACTACCTAAAACTAACAGGAACAACTACTAAACTACATTAAGAGAATCTTAATGTAGAATAAGAAACTTTTTTTTGACAGGTTAAAAAAAGAATAATCGGGAGCTAAATTGTGTACCAATTGGCTTATAAGTTCCTCTGACACAAAAAGAGCCACGACCATTTAAGCATTAATGATTTCACATGTAAGAAGTCCTACAAAAACAAAATTCACACCGTGTATGTCCGCCTTAACTGGTTATCAGAGATTAACTTAATTTTGTGGATGAGGGACAAATTGTTTTTCAAGGTGTTTTGATGAAAAGCTGAAAGGATTTATTTAAGAAAAAAATAATAATAAAACAACATATTTTTTGTAAGATTGTAAATGTCTTGCAATTTAATGCATTCTTACTGAATTAAAGTAGTAATGTCTCCAACAAGTTGTATAGCTATAAAAGGTCGTGTGATATAGTACATAAATCTACAAGGAAAGCTAATACCAGGTCAGAGCTACAGTTTAGGGATACTTTTTTTTTTCAGAGACCCTTTGGGACTCATATTTAACATACGTATTCACATTCATCATCTGACTCCACACCTCCAGCACAGGTCACCAGCTACAGTCAGCATGACACAACAAAGCAAAAAGAGCATTATTGATCTCTATGTACAAACTCAACTAACTTACACTACAAAAATCCTATTTGAATGAGTAAATGCGATCCATTGACTTTCATAGTATTTTTTATTCTACTATGGATGTCAATGAGTTTCCATGTTTCTTTCAAAATATCTTCCTTTTTTATTTGGATATATTTGAAGAGTTTAGATGCAAAAACCTTTAAGTGCCGTCTGAATCTTTCTTCTAAAATGAGCATGTTTCACAGGTTCCTATATGTAGGGTCAGTAATTTACATAGAACATAGAACAGGTTATATTTATTCCCTTTAATGTGAAAGAAAAAAACTAAACATAAACATAGGAGGCGGAGAAAAACATTCATTTAGAAGAAAACTTCTGGCTTTTCTAGCATTTAGAGGTTTTTGCATCTAAACTCATTTTAATTTTTAGGTATAATCCATAATATTTTTGTTGAGACACTCGATGCTTGTTTATTTGTGTTAGGCATTATAACACAAAAACACAAAAGACAAATGTTAGACACAGATAAAGGTAGAATGCGGAAACACAACACAATGATTAGCAATGATTAGACAGTTGTCGGACATTGACACGAGAAGTGTGTGTTGGCTCACCCAGTTCTTCTTCTTCTTCTTGCTGCTGGAGTCGGGGTTGTCCATGTTGGAGCCCAGGCTGGAGTGACTGGTGGCACTGGTGATGCTGGAGACGCTGTCAGACGAGTGCTGTCTGCGCATGCGCAGGTCCGGCGGCGCTCCCAGCCCTGAACCGTTATTACCTGACAAACAGAGAAGAATTTTAGCTGGCATCAAAAGCGATAAAACTATAACAATATACGAGAACGTCTGACAATGCCAATTTCATTCTATTAAAATTTATTTGTATAGATAAACTTGACAATAAATATTGTTTCAAAGCAGCTTTACAAAAGGTGATGTGGTCTATGTGTACTTGTTCAATGAAGTGTATTTGTGTATTAAGTGTGTTGTCAATATGACAATGTTTAAAAAGAAAACACATGAAAAAGCATCTTTAATCAAACAGTTTTGAATAATAAATTATATCAAGCTATCTCTAAAAATATTGTTTGGATGTGTATATATGGACATTTTGTGATGAAAAATATGAACTTAAAGACTTATTTTGTCTATATTCGCCTCCTAAATCATACATTCAGCTTCAGTTGTATAATTGTCATTTATTGGTGTATTTACTCTACAATTTTTCTACAAACAATAGTATAAAACTTAAATTTTTTTGTATTATGTGTAATTTAAATAACAAAATAATGCCTGTCCCTACATTCCAGTCAACTGTTGACTATATTATCCATTTAAAATTAATTAAAATTAATAAAATTAAAAATATAATATAATATAATATGATATAATATAATATAATATAAGCATACATGTTTATGTATCATAGTATTGTATAGCATCAATATTTTTCTCAGTGTATATTATATTATCATATAATAGTATAATACATATATAGTATAATATAATAATTTCACTTATCAAATAATTTTTTATGAAATTCTAAAAAATGATTATAAAATTATACATATTATATAAAAATTAAGTGTTTTGTGATCTCCAAAACAAAATGAAGACCCTCTAAAACAGCATAAAAAGGAGCACTTCAAACCTTCTTATGTACTAATGTTTGACAAGTACACAATACAGAATGCTCAAAAACGACCATAAATCAATGCATCAAATAAGATAAAGAACTCATTTAGGTCACTTCAAATGTCATATGATTGTGGTGAGTTTGTTGACATTAATTGAACTGCATGTCTTGATGGATTATTTCTCTCTCTCTCTCTCTCTCTCTCTCTCTCTCTCTCTCTCACCTGTTCGTTCACTCTTGCAGGTGAGTTCTGGAGTGTTGATGACACCATTAATCGCTGCTTGAGCCACTGCGTTCTGCTTCTTTAGCAGCTCAATGGTTTTTCTCAACTCATTCAGTTCAGAGTCCTAATATTAGAAAAAAAAAATCACAAACACAATATTCTCTATTAGACTATTACTGAATCCATGTCAGCAGCAAGGCATCTTTATAGCAATTAGTTCAGCTGTAATTTTGATTGAAACACAATAGAATAGTAATGCGTTAAAAAAAGAAAATGCCTTCTGTGTGAACTAAGAGTGTTCATATTTACTTTTTGTTCCGCGGTCATAGTCAGGCTCTTGAGTCGGATGGTCATGTTGCCCAAACTCTGCTCAAACGCTGCCACCAGGTGGGCCTGAAAAGAAGAACAGGACAAGAGAGACTAGTGTAAACATGGAAAAACGATTCATTCAAAGACAAAATACCGTTTATTTTTCATTTGCATGCATGTATGCGTCATAACACACTATTCATAATATACATTGGGCAATCTCCCTTTAAGGAGGTTAAATGTGACAAACACATTTTGCTTAAAACATGAACTGCGTGACCTGTGTGGGAGATGATTGCTCATTGAAATGTTCTGCAGAAAGCATTGAAGCTTAAACTTACTAAATAACAACCTTTATCTTTAATCAAACACTTAGACGTGCAATATAAACTCTGGCCCGTATCCCAGACCACCAAGCAACAACAGATTCATATTTACAGTCTCAGTTCAATTTATGTTTCTCTCTGAATCTAATTCTTCTCATGGGAAATAAAAGAAAATATTAATTATTTTTTTATATCTCAAATATTTCTCCTGGCCATAATATCAATATTAGATTTGAAATTACTGCTTTACTACCATGAGTTACAGAAACGGACACCCAATTGGTGTAAAAGCATTTTATACACCAAAAAAATGGTCAAGCATATTATAACAAGAATAAATTGATGACATAATAAAATACACTATTTAAGTATAAAACAAAAATTATGCCATTTTAAATTTATGTTGTTTTTTTTGTCATTTTTAAATATGTGCTTTATAATCATTTAAAAGACAATACAATTTATTAGGATTACTTATAGTTTTATATATTTTATTATAAAACAATATTATGGTTTTACACATATTTTGCCATTTTATTTTCCAAAAACTGAAAAAACTTTTTAGTAAAACTTTTGTTAGAAACTTTTCTATCAAAATAAACTCACTTCACATTAAGAATCCATTACATTATTGACCAACATCACAGTAGTTAACATTTACTAAGATGAAAATATTCTTCATTGTTTGTTTACTTAAAAAGGTGAGTAAACCCATTGCTTACAAGAGTTGACTTTACCTAAAAAATGAGCTAACCCATTATCTTGAAAACTTGGCTTTACCTAAAAAGGTAAGTAAACTCATTGCCTTACAAGTGCTGACTTTACTTAATAAAGTGAGTAAACCCATTGCCATACAAAATTTGGCTTTAACTAAAAAGGTGAGTATACTCGTTGCCTTAAAAAAGTTGACTTTACTTAAAAAAGTGAGTAAACCCATTGCCTTACACAAGTTGACTTTACTTAATAAAGTGAGTAAACCCATTGCCTTACACAAGTTGACTTTACTTAATAAAGTGAGTAAACCAATTGCCTTACACAAGTTGACTTTACTTAATAAAGTGAGTAAACCCATCGCCTTACACAAGTTGACTTTACTTAATAAAGTGAGTAAACACATTGCCTTACAAAAATTGACTTTACTTAATAAAGTGAGTAAACCCATTGCCTTACACAAGTTGACTTTACTTAATAAAGTGAGTAAACCCATTGCCTTACAAAAGTTGACTTTACTTAATAAAGTGAGTAAACCCATTGCCTTACACAAGTTGACTTTACTTAATAAAGTGAGTAAACCCATTGCCTTACACAAGTTGACTTTACTTAATAAAGTGAGTAAACCCATCGCCTTACACAAGTTGACTTTACTTAATAAAGTGAGTAAACACATTGCCTTACAAAAGTTGACTTTACTTAATAAAGTGAGTAAACACATTGCCTTACAAAAGTTGACTTTACTTAATAAAGTGAGTAAACCCATTGCCTTACACAAGTTGACTTTACTTAATAAAGTGAGTAAACCCATTGCCTTACAAAAGTTGACTTTACTTAATAAAGTGAGTAAACCCATTGCCTTACACAAGTTGACTTTACTTAATAAAGTGAGTAAACCTATTGCCTTACAAGTGTTGACTTTACTTTAAAATTGAGTAAACTCATTGCCTTACAAGTGTTGACTTTACTTTAAAAAGTTGAGAAACCATTTGCCTTTCAAGAGTTGACTTTACTTTAAAAAGTGAGTAAATCCATTTTCTTACAAAAGTTGACTTTACTTAAAAATTTAGTAAACTCATTGCCTTAAAAGAGTTGATTTTACTTTAAAATGTTGAGAAACTCATTGCCTTACACAAGTTGGCTTTACTTTCAAAAGTGAGTAAACCCATTGCCATACACAAGTAGACTTTGCTTAAATAAGTGAGCAAACCCATTGTCTTACAATAGTTGACATTACTTAATAAAGTGAGTAAACCCATTGCCTTACAAGAATTGACTTTTCTTTAAAAAGTTGAGTAAACCCATTGCCTTACAAGAATTGAATTTACTTAAAAAGTTTGTAAACTCATTGCCTTAAAAGAGTTGACTTTACTTAAAAAAGTTGAGAAACCCATTGCCTCACACAAGTTGACTTTACTTTCAAAAGTGAGTTAACCCATTTTCTTAATAAATAACAACAAATAACAAAAACAAAAATAAAACAATCACACTTTTTAAACAAATGTATTTTAACAGTCTGTTTAACAAAAAATAGGCCTTCTTGTAAAATGTTCAAAGTATCTCAAACTGTTTAGATGACACAAGTTTTAATTGAACTTTTTCTTTAATACTAACCAATTTGTTTTAATTCTCGCAAGATATCTGAAATAAAATACCATCAACAAAGTAAAACTCTTCTCTGTTTAAAAAAAACAGCTTTTTCAGGGTCATCGCCTCACCTCGCATCCAAGAGGCTCCTGCTGGCTGTCATTAGTCTCTGTAAAGCCTTTTTGTCTGTATTTTTCTTTGTGAAGGAGAGCGTGTTTCTCTGCGCACCCATGGGAAGGGTAGCGGTTCAAAGGGAGCCACACAAGAGGGCCGATCCCGTCAGAACAAACATCTCTACAGCTCCTCTGCTCTTCCATAGATAGCCGAGCTTCAGATAAGCACAACTACAGCGTTATATTAAGATGAGAAGCTCCTCCTAATACTGATAACTGAGACAGACAAAGCAGAGAAGCCGCCTGAGGCCTTGACATGTTTCACTGACGTCTCAAGTGCTTATTGTTTTTTTTCGTTTTGGATATTTCTCACTCTTAAGTAACTGGAAAGCCAGCAAAAAACGGGTTTACTGCAATAAAATGCTATTCTTAAAAGTTTTTGTGTTGTTTTTAATTTATGTATTTTAATTACAATTTTAATATAATTGATTAGTTTAAAATATGTAAAAATCCATACATAAAGAAGCATTTTTAGACAAGTAAATACTGTTTTGCTTGTCAGAATCAGTCAAAATAAAAAATAAAAATGATTTAAAATTAAATTTAAACACCTTGACTTACAGAATTACCAAACAAATTTAGTTTATATACCAAATATGGTCACGAATGTTATTTACGATTTTGTTATTTATATTATTGACATAATAAAAGTCTAAAAATACAATTTAATTAATTTGAGAGCCCTAAAATACTATTTAATTGTCATAAAAAAAAATAAAAAAAAAAAAATATATATATAAATATATATATATATATATATATATATATATATATATATATATATATATAAATATATATATATATATATATATATATATATATATATATATATATATATATATATATATATATATATTTGTAATTTGTTGACAGGAGGTTTTAATCTTTTAAAATATAATACAGTTCATTATGATCACTTATGGTTTTATTTATTTCAGAACTTTCGATCAGAACAGGTACTTTTTTTTTTATCTCTTTCTCCTTTTTTTATACAAAAATCTAAAGTTTTTTCTTCATTTTATCAAGCATAATTTGCCAATGGAGTAAGCACAATAATCTTATTTAAACCAAAAACACGTTTACCCCATTGGCAGATTATTCTGCTTGTTCTAAAAAGAAAACATTTGAATTTTGACTTATTTCTGAAAACAAAATTTGTTTTGAGGTCAGCTAGCAAAGTGCTATGCAGGTAAACCTCACTCCATGTTGAAGCAACTGACTCCCATGCAAAGAAACTCTGGTTCGATCCCAGCTCAGACTGGGTTGGGTGAGGTAGGACTGATGGGTAACATGTGGGGGCTCGTCCGGGATGGGAGTGAGGTGAGTGAGTGTAAAGTAGTCCAGCTAGCAAAGTGCAATGCAAGTAAACCTCACTCCTCTGAACAGACGCTAGAGGCCACGGTCTTTAGCCTACTTGTTAGAGCAACCGACTCCCATGCAAAGAATCGCCGGTTCGATCCACAGCTCAGACTGAGATGGGTACAGTAGGACAGATGGGTGACATTTTACTTTACTTCACGATCTAAAAATGTTCAAACTTCATTCATTCATTTTCCTAAAGGCTTAGTCTGTTTATTAATCAGGGAGCACCACAGTGGAATGAACCGTCAACTTATCCAGCATATGTTTTACGCAGGGGATGCTCTTCCAGCTGCAACCCATCACTGGGAAACATCCATACACTCTCATTCATAGACATACACTACGGAAAATTTAGAATACCCAGTTCACCAATACCGCATGTCTTTGGACTTGTGGGTGAAACCGGAGCCCCTGGAGGAAACCCACACAAACACGAGAGAACGTGCAAACTCTACACAGAAATGCCAACTGACCCAGCCGAGCCTCGAACCAGGGACCTTCTTGCTGTGAGGTGACAGCACTACCCACTGCGCCACCGCGCCGACCCTCAAACAAATGAAAAAATCTTTTTTTTTTTCAGTGTGTGTCTGCATAAAAGCAAAGTAAAACAGCAATCTGCAAACATATTACACATGTACTTTAAATTAACCTCATTCAGCGCCTGTCAAAAATAGTCATTGTACTCAAGAAGTTGACAAGGTAATGGTGTTACGTCAGAAACTGTTATGTACACATGAAAATGGAAAATCTGGTCTTTTTAGTGCTCATTTGAAGACCTCTTTTGTTAAGTAGCTCTGAAAATCATGTCTAGTTTGTTCTTACATGACAGGATTACATTGCCTTGGGCAGAAAAGACTTTGTGATTTACACATGCTTTTATCTTAAGCAGGACATATCAAAAACACTGAACGCAGTTTGTGCTCCCCTTTGTCTATAGCCATAAAACATACAATCAAACACAGTATGTTTTCTCTGGTGCAAACGACACATATCTGTTCTGACTTGAGTATCTCTGTGTAGTCACGCAGTATTTTACAAATCTACACCAATACAGAGTGTACTTGATTTCTCATGATTGCAGTATATTTCATAAAGTAGCTCATAGTTCAAAGTAGCTCAAAGCCTCATAATATGACTTGAAGTTTACAGTTTAACAAATACTATATCTCACAATTTGAATTAATTTCATATAAATGTGGTTATTACTGAAAACTTTACCTATTTTTCATCACTATAACTGAGATCTCAGAGCATGAGATTTACACTTACTGGCCACTTTATTAGATACACCTTACCGCACCGGGTTGGACCCCCTTTTACCTTCAGAACTGCCTTAATCCTTTGTGGCATAGATTCAACAATGTACTGGAAATATTCCTTAGAGATTTTGGTCCATATTGACAAGATAGCATCTCGCAGTTGCTGCAGATTTGTCAGCTGCACATCCATGATGTGAATCTGCCTTTCCACCACATCCCAAGGGTGCTCTATTGTATTGTAGCGAGTGGTTATTTGAGTTACTGTTGTCTTTCTATCAGCTGGAACCAGTCTGGCCATTCACCTCTGACCTCTGGCATCAACAAGGCATTTGTGCCCACAGAACTGCTGTTAACTGGACATTGTCTATTATTTGGACCATTTTATGTAAACCCTAGAGATGATTGTGCGTGAAAATCCCAGTAGATCAGCAGTTTCTGAAATACTCACACCAGCCAATCTGGCACCAACAACCATGCCACATTCAAAGTCACTTAGATCACCTTCCCCATTCTGATGCTCGGTTTAAACTGCAGCAGATCGTCTTGACCATGTCTACATGCCTAAATGCACTGAGTTGCTGCCATTTAATTGGCTGATTATAAATTTGCGTTAACATGCAGTAGGACTATTGTACCTAATAAAGTGGCCGATGAGTGTATAGTATTTGTAGCATAGATTTTTTTTTTATTATTGAACATTGAATTTTTGTGCAGGATTGGGAGTGAAGATATCTTCTGACTGTGAAGAGAAGTGTAGCTGCTTATGGGGCCGTTCACATCATCTTTTTGATATCTTTTGCGCACGCAAGTTCATTCACCAATGAGGCCGCGTGGCTTGCGCACACATATTCAGAGCGCATTTTGCGCATTCTCATATTTTCCAGGTGCACCAGCTGAAACCCGCAAGTCAAGACAACACAAGAACTGAAACAATCTTGAGACAAGAACTGGCCAATCAGCTTCATGCTTTTATAGAATATAGACATTTCGCTACACTAATTACCTCAGACATACACAGAACACCCAAACACTGCACTGCTTTCGCATACTATGGATGTCAATGATTACAGGTATCCGATTTTCTTCTAAATGTCTTCTTTTGTGTTAAAAAAAAAAAAGACAAACGGGTTTGGAACAAGTAAACGATGAGAGAAATTTAAGTTTTGGGTGAACTCTTTAAGTATTTTGAGTATGTCAAGCTGCTGTGATCAACCCAGTGTAATGTTTATCAGTGAATATTAAACTACTGAAAGAGCCGCAGATTATTGAGCATTTTTATAGGTTTTACACGTTTTAAAAGTAACTTCAAAAAAAAGTAATTAATAATCTGATTTCTTATTTATTTATTTAAGTATTTAGTAACGTAACCAGATTACAATTGCCCAGTAGTAATACATGTAATTTGTAATCGATTACTATTTTTAAAGTAACTTACACAACACTGGCATTAAGTTTGCAAATTTTTAGTCAACTTTTTTGCGGCAATGAGTTTACACACTTTTTAAATAAAGTAACTAATCCCTTTTTACAGTGTAACCACTTAAAACAGAACAGGTTTATCTACACGGGTATGCACACGTTAAGCAAAGGGAAACTGTATTACAAATACACAATGGCCAATACAGTAGACGTAGCGCTTTTGTATGAACGCAATGACAACTGGAAACTCCGATGAGGTCATGATCGACGCTGACATTAATCAACTACTCAACCCGCACAGGCGTCACTAGGATTACGATAACACCATTTAGATGACGCCTCAGGATGACAACTGACACCAGATCCTGAATTGGGAATAAATGATGGCCTTTAGATATAATAAAAGAATGAATGCCTCCGTGTCCACCTACATTAGCACTGAGTTGCGTCGTCAAAGCGGAAACCTTTTCCTGGGACGCATCCAGCTCTCGACGCAGCTTGCGGATCTGAAGGAGAGAGAGAAAAAAATAGGTTGAGGAAGAATAAAAGAAAAAGTGCACATGAAAAGAAGAGGAAACACAAGGGATCCAGGTGTGTGTGTGTGGTGGAAAGGGAACTTTGTGATTTGGTATCAAAGAGGGGAAACAGTTTGCAGGTGTATGTACAGAATTGCACAGGTGGATGTAAAGATCACAGAGACATGCGGTGAAATCAGATCCCGCCCTGAATCCGCCCTCAGTTTGTGTTCACAACAGGTCAATGCTGGTGAATAAACATGGCTCAGAGGTATGTGTGGGGCCATATGTGTGTGTTGTTTTTGCGAAAAGAAAAACCAAGTCCTCACCTCGGATTGTGATTTCTCCTCCGTCTGCAAAAATAGAAAGACACAGTAGTTACTAGTCGAGTATTTGCACAGCTTTTCTTGTTTAGCTGTTGAAAAATGAGCTTCTGTCAATCCTGAGGGTATTAAATGTACACCAGGGACAGAAACACACACCTGAAAATGAAGGGAATGATTTCTCCCTAAAGCGGTAGAGAGGGAATTTTTTTTTATTTTCCTCTTTCTGTGATTTACGAGCTCAGCTCTATTGGGGAAGTGGGATTCGTTTGATTATCAGTGTGATTGATTTGTTTGGAAGTTTGTAACCAGACAATGGGGATCATGATGTAGACATGCTTCTGTCTGTCTGATGTTTTTGCATGTAGGCCAAAGATGAAAACTATTAAAGTGTTATACATGTTTACTTTTTTACTGTAAATTAGAGTACATTATGTACATTCTGGTTTAATATTTAAATTATAATGATTATTATTTATTTTTACTATGATTTAAAGAAAATAAAAACACATGACATTGAGGGTAACAGTTTGTATTGCAAAAAATCTTGCAAATTTAAAACTATATTTATTTATTAGGTTATTCAACAGCCAAAGTAAAGCCCTAAATTACTAAATACATTAAAAAATGTAAAGACATGTAATTTAAAATGAGAAAACTGTCATTAGTAGCTTACAGAATAATATAAAAATGCTTACTCAAAAATGTAACTATAATTATCAAAAATAACAGAACATTTTGAGAAACTTAAGGGTTTTTGAGGGTTTTACCCCTGATATGGCTGTATGTGCCAGAGCCAGGGCTTCCAGCCTGGCTAGGCTGGTCAAGCTGGTTTTAGCTGGTCATCTCCCAGCCTGACCAGCTAAGACCAGGGTGGAAATGGCTGGAAACCAGCCTGGAAATGACCAAAATCCCTCTAAAACCAGATTGGTCGACCATATAAAATCAGCCAACCATCCTAGGCTGGTTTAAGCTGGATTTTTCAGCAGGGATGGCACGTCATGTGTGAATGTTGAGTCAACATAATTGGACAATATAATAATCAACATTACTATTTTAACAAAAGTTTGCACAGGAAAAAAAATACAATAGTAATTTTTAGTTCATTTAAAGTGTTTTTAAAGATATATAATATAGTATCTACAATGTTTTTAAAGAATGCTTCAGCATATTCTAGTGTTAACTATAGTGAACTAATAAACTGTAACAAATACTGTAGTGTACTTCAGCTTTGTAAACTGTGGTGTGCTGTAGCATGACATCTCCTATCATTGTAGGAAACTACAGTGTAATTTGTTTATATTACAACAGTTGTTGTGTTGCCATAGCAACTATAAAATCACCACAACAGAATAATTCAAGTACTTTATTATAGTATGGTTCAAAAACACTATGGTATTTACAATAGTTTATTATAGTGTTTTTATATGGATTATTTGAAACACACACTTTACCTGCATTTAATAAGCTTGTACTCAAGGTTATTTTAGTAAACAAAACTAAAAAGAAGACTCAATTTATTAGTCAAAAATCTGTTTAGTTAACTGAAGACAAAATAAAAATTAATTAAATGAAACTATGAGCAGAAATTAAAAATCGAACTGAAATAAAATAACATTTCGCCAAAAATATAACTGTTATCATCATTAATTAGCACTCATTCTGTGGCCGGAATATAGGGAATGCCAGTAGATGGCGCTTGTATAGTCAAACACGCTTTAGGTTGATTTATACTTCTATGTCAAATGCACACATACGGTCCGGCTAAGCCTTCGCCTGATTGCATAGCCCTCGCCATGACTGACATGCGCCTTTCAAAAAATTTAACTACACATCGTAACGTTGAGTAGCACAAGCTTTGTGATTGGTGGGCTTGGTAGCTGTGCCAAATGTGGGTGGTGCTGAGACCCGCGAGCCTGAATGAGTGAGTATTAACAAGTTTCATGTCCCGTAAAGGAGAATGTTTTGTTTTTACTTGTATGATTAAAGTTGTTGCACGTCCGCCGGTTCCCGCCTCTGAATGAACAAGTTTTAGCTACTTGTGACTTATGGTTGCATTCAGAAAAAAAAAACACCCGCAAAGAAACATGACATAGAGGAACATAAAAATCTACAGCCAGCTAGTGTTTCGGAAGTGTTAATGCAGAGCAACAAAAACAGCAAGCAGAAGTATAAGTGCAAGGCTTGCACCGTGGGTCATGGCGATCGCTCGATGCAGAAGTATAAACCAGCCTTTATACACAAACAAAAAAAAATACATAAAAAGTTTTTTTAATCTGCCAGCGTGTTTAACTTTACATCATCTCTAATATGAAGAAATTAGTGTAAATTATTCATAGTTTTTACTTTTATACATTTGATGGGGTTTTGGGTTAAATGTCTGCTCAAAAATTATTTTATTTTCATTTATGATAATTTTTTGTCCTGTTAACTCCGCTAAACTATCATCACTGACACTAAAACTGAAACTAAATATATACAACTGAATAAGATTTGTGTTCTCACAATAAAAACTAAACTAAAACTAACAAAACCGTTCATCAAATGAACTAAAATTAAACTGAAACCCCACACTTCAAAATAAGAACCCATTTTAAAAACCCAAAAACTCATTTTACTCATGCAAAACTATAAAAACCTCACTCTTACAACCTAAAATCACATTTCCAAACAACTTTATATAAGTTTAGATTTAGATTCAACAATTTTTAAAATATTTTAAATAATCAACTTTATTTTTTATAGCGCTTTATACAATATATATTCTGTCAAAGCAGCATAACATAGATGAAGTTTTAGTAAATTGAAACTGCAATTCAGTTTTCACAGTTCAGTTTAGTTCAGTTAAGTCTAACTTTTAAGAGATTTGAATAAATACTCAATGACAAATAAATGCTTTAGAAAACAATAGCATACTACTGCTCTTTATGTGCCATATAGTACACACACATACTGTAAAAACACCCATTAGGTGTGTTACGACATCTCACTATAATGATTTTCTTCTGCTGTTGACATATGATTGACAGCAAGACAGACGGTCACATTAAAACAGCATCATTGTCTGTTTATCACAGCATTACATGACATATAGGAAGCACCCATTGGCGTCTTTCACTTAATTACATCTTGCTCTCTATAAATGTGTTCAAACAGACTCAACACACTGACGTTGGAATTGAATCAATGCTCCTCTGATCATAAGTGCTTTGTTTACTTTTTCAGAGACTGCAGATCGCAGTGTCATTATATCTGGCTTTAGCTGAATGTTCAGTTCTCTGAGGACACAATGAATGTTTCAAAAGCAGCACAGAATGTTTTTAAGTGTGTTGCTAAAAGACACTATCTTTCTGCATGACAGCAGTCTCCCACATACACAAGCAAACACACCTTACAGCCTCCATCATCAGACAAAACACAGCCAAAGGGAACATCTCAAACTGTGTTGGATGAGAACTAAAACAATTAACTACTGTAAACACTACAAAATATGTCATGTTATTATATTACAGTCTCAGTTATGTGGTTTTAAACCTTATTGAGTTATCTATTGGACACTAAATAAGATATTTTGAAGAATGCTGGTTGCTGGCCATCTATCTGCATTCTTCATGTCCAATAGAAACTAAAATAAGTTTTGAAGTTAATAGTGAGCAAATTCTGACAGAATTTTCCTTTTTGGGTGAACTATATTTTAATAGTATATCGCATACAGTAAATAGTTTTACATTATAAATATATGTATCAGCAAATAGTTAGGTTCCTACCGTGTATCCCCAAGACGAACCAGCTCTCCCCATAGAGAGAGTCGCCATCATCATGATTTTCCACTATTCTGCTTCTTTCTACTTAAACTCCTGAAGTAAGTAAGCTACAGACTGATCTGTTCCATCTGATCTGCAGACTATACACGTGTGTATGTGTGTGTGTGCTGAAGGGAGTGTGTTGTTCAATCAACTCTGCAGGTGAGTGGAGCCTCCCATGTGGAGGAGTGGCAGCCTGATCTTATTCTGGAGAACCATTGGCTGACGCTTATTGTCAGAGTGAACACTCACAATGAAGATACAGCTAACCTACTGTATATGTCTAAACTACTTTTCTACCTGTGTCCATCCATCCATCTATATTTCTATCCATCTGTCCATTGCTACATCCAGTTTTATCCAATTATTTATCCATCTGCTTTTCTGTTGATCTATTCATCTACTCATCTTTCCATTTGTCAAGCATCTATCTGTCTGTCTGTTTATTGATCTGTCTGTCGATTTGTCTCTCTATCTATCCATCTATCTATCTATCTATCTATCTATCTATCTATCTATCTATCTATCTATCTATCTATCTATCTATCTATCTATCTATCTATCTATCTATCTATCTATCTATCTATCTATCCATCCATCCATCCATCCATCCATCCATCCATCCATCCATCCATCCATCCATCCCTTTCATTTATGTATCCATCAATCCATCTGTCTACATATCTATGCCTCCGTCCATCCACCTACTCATGTCCATCGATTGGTCTGTCTTTTATTTACTTATCCATCCATCCATCCATCAATTTATATATTTGTCCATCTGTCTTTGAATTAATCGTTCATCCAACCATATTCTACATTTTCCATTTATTTGTTTACTTGCCCATCCATCCATCTATTCCCCTGTCTACATTTCTGTTCCTTCATCCATCTGCTTACTCATTTATCTATCATTTACATTTCTTTCATTTACTTCTGTATTCATTAATCCATCCATACATCTATCTATGTATGCATTCATCCATACATATAGTCTATATTTTCCTTCCATTTATTTTACTTTACCATCAATCTACATATCTCTCCATCTGTCTTTTAACTATCCATCCATTTATCCAACCCATTCATCCATATATAATCTACTTTTTCCTCTCCATTTGTTTACTAGTCCCTCCATTCCTCCACTTACTTATTTATCAATCCCCCATTTACTCATCCATCCATTAATTCCTCAGCCATTCTCATATTTTCTCATTCATAAATTAGCCATTCTCATATTTTCCTCTATTTGTTTACTTTGTTTACTGTTTATTTCAAAGTACATTGTATCATGGTATCATGTAAAAATTGTAAATTATATTTTTAATAAAACAGGCTAAAAAGTCTGTCTGTCTGTCTGTCTGTCTGTCCGTCCGTCCGTCCGTCCGTCCGTCCGTCCGTCCGTCCGTCCGTCCGTCCGTCCGTCCGTCCGTCCATCAGTTCATCCATTCGTCTGTCCATCTATCTGTCTACCTATCTATATTTCTGTTTATCAATCTATCTATCTATCTATCTATCTATCTATCTATCTATCTATCTATCTATCTATCTATCTATCTATCTATCTATCTATCTATCTATCTATCTATCTATCTATCTATCTATCTATCTATCTGTCTGTCTGTCTGTCTGTCTGTCTGTCTGTCTGTCTGTCTGTCCGTCCGTCCATCAGTTCATCCATTCGTCTGTCCATCTATCTGTCTATCTATCTATATTTCTGTTTATCAATCTATCTATCTATCTATCTATCTATCTATCTATCTATCTATCTATCTATCTATCTATCTATCTATCTATCTATCTATCTATCTATCTATCTATCTATCTATCTATCTATCTATCGGCTCCATCCATTAGTCCATGTACATTTTTACAGTTTGGTGTTGTTTACTGATGTTTATGTTTACTAAGAGTCTGCATGAACCAAAGATCAAGATCAAAATAACTTAGAAACTTAAAAACTTGGGGTTGAAAACTTACCGTTGAATAGACGGATGAGGTGCTGGACACCAGTGACAGGGATGACCCATGAA